TGAACTGGTGTGAAATATAGTGTAGTCACACCCTTTGTTATTATGTACCATCATATCATTTCTGATTTATTGAGACCTTATGGATTAATGATCTCCATAAGGCCTCACCATTAACAACTCTTCTTGGGATCTTGTTCAATTCCTGGGAGACAAAAACCCTTGCAGATCTACTGGAAATCATTAAGAGCTATGCTAATAGAACCCAATCTGCACCCCTGTTCCACTGTCCAAAAGCTCAGCTCTTTCTTGTACTGTAATCTTTGTAGGACTTCAAACTACAGTGTCTACTTCACTTTCCTCCTAGGAAGTGAGAACATTCTTGTTTTCCAGTAGTTCTTTAGAATTTCCCCAAAATGGTCCTGTCTCAATGAGTTCAATTATTTAGCTCTTAATGGGAACATATTACTGTATTTTATCAGCATACAACTCTTTTGTCAGTGCTGACGAGATCTGGTCTCAGCTGATCCACGCCAGTAGCCCCACTCATAAACTATCTGACAGTGAAACCTTCAATACTTAAAAGGCCATAACCATCAAAATGTAAGGTATTTCTGTATTGTACAGTTTACTAGAAATTCTGCATTGTGTATAGCCAATGTAATATAATTGCAAAACACATCTCATTTCAGACCAATTTCTTGAGACACACATAACATAAACATCATAGTAGTATAAGACTGTCTTTTTTCACTATTTAAAAACAATGTTACTATTAGTACTTATGTCTCTTTTCATGTATTCATTAATAAATAAATTTTAATATAAATATGTATTCTAAAAATCTCAGCCTCCCATTTCTACATTTATATTTCTAATACTATCTTTTTAATATTTCTTACACATTATTATTATATGCATTTAAGAATGGAGGTTTTCGGTTTTCACACACACTGGCCTGTGTCCAGGAAATTTACTCCTAGTGTCCAATTCTCACTGAACCTAAAGTACATCACAAAAATGAACAAAGCTGTATGTTTTAGGAGGAAAAATCTTAATCGGATCAATGGGATCTACTTTTTTAAAAAAAGTACTAGGCTCCACCAGGCTATTACAGAATATTTATTTGTGTCACACCACTATGTGTGCAAACTTTCAAGCCATTAAAATTTGTTTCAAATTGCATATACAGTGACTGTGGTAGTCCTGAGCATCATGAGGGTGGAGTCAGTAATATCACCTGTATCCGAGAGGTTGCAGAAATTCAGTAGGGCTAGTTTTCCTGGCATGGTGGAAATGAACGGAACAAAATAGCTACCCTAGTTGAATTTCTGCTTGTCATGCAGTTACAGGTACTGTACTGAATATCTTCACCTGTTGAAATGGCCTGTAGTCCATGAAAGACGTAAAATGGTTAGCGCCGAAGGTGATGGTTTGGCAGCTAATGGAGGACAAGTTAATACCAGATTTATTTCTTGTGGTGCTTTTAATTTCAACCCCATCCTTGAGGAAAGTGTGAGACAATCAGCTACTCCTGCTGTGTTACTCTTGCCTCCCCTGATATGTAAGCTGGAGAAGGGGGCAAACAGTTGTGTTTTCATCTCGGTAGTCACTGCCCATTGGAGGCAGGAATGGCAGGCAAGGGCTACGAGGTCAAGGCCAATGCGAACCCGAAGATGCCCTCAAGAAACATTAATTTTGCTAAGGAGCAAAAATAAATTGAAATATCATGACCTAGTTCTCTCTCCGCCCCGCCCCCCCAAATGTGTTTTTTTTTTTCGGGGTCATCAGACTCAACCCCTCAACCCATTTCTTTCAAACGAACAGCTATCTAGTCTTCCAGGAGTCATCATCCTGAGCTCGAGGGGTCTGGCTCTTCCTTTGAGGGCGAAAGCACTAAAATCCACATCTTTTTGGACCAGTCTGATGACCTAAGAAGCCCCTTTCACCTCCGTAGCAGATATTGTTGGGAGTTCTGTAAAACTGAATTTGCCGGGACCCTTTTTCCAAGGGGAGCCAGCATTCCTGCACTTACCGCGTAGGAATCGTTACAATTGTTAAATATTTATTGACGCCTAAGTCGTTCCTCCCTTCGCTGCGAAAGAGCCACCGCTATCTGCCCCCTACCGTTCCGTTATAACGACCCTAACGTTCGTTCCCGCAGATTCGTAACAATCCCGTGCTGTTATTAGTGCCTTTCGAAAGCTCTTAATAAAGGCCCCTATTTTCCCTCACAGATTACCTAACCCTAACGGCAAGACCGCCCCCCCTCCCTCTCCATTTGAGCGCAGAGAATTTTAATTCCAGTCAGCGAGAAAGTGCAAGGAAACAATCCCCCGCTAGGTCTTCGCCCTTCCTTTCTAGCCGCTGTTTCCCGAAAGAACGTCACCCGCCTAAGCGCCGAACGGGCGGAGGGGATTCCTGACTCCTGCGTAGCTGGCGCAGCATCGTTGTTGCCCACGAACTCGGCAGGCAGGCGTGACGAAACTGTGTCGCGAAGGCCTGGAAAAAAAGGCCCGGCTTGCTTTCGAGCGTCCCTTTTCCTGTGTCGAAAGTGCAGAGGCGAGAAACGAACCAGGCGGAACCGTCACCATAGAGAGGAAAGAGGCGGAGGGCAGAAGAACGAGGCGAGCAGGGGGGGGTTGACCGGGAGGGGAGAAAGGTTAAGGCAAGCGTCTGTCGCGAGACCGGGCGCGAGAGTCTCGCCTGGGGGAGCTTTGGCCCCGCCCCTTTGGTCCCTGTCGGCGGCGGCGGCAGAGGCAACGGGTTGTCACCCTTTTCCCCTTCCCTCTTTTTTTTCTTTTTTCTCCCTCCCTGCCCCTTGTCCTCCTCCCCCCTCCCTCACACAGGTCGCGAGGCGGCGAGCGGCCCGGTCGCGAGGACACGCCGGCCGAG